GGACGGCTGCCAGCAATGTCCTGGTGGCTCTGGCCCGGACACACTTCAGCTTGGTGATGGCTGAGCTCCAGAGCCACCTGAAGGCCACACGGGAGATGTCTAAGGACTTTGTGCTCGTGACCCTGGGCAAACTCTTCAGCACCTATGGTAGAGTGCCCTCAGCCTCCTGATGCCTATGATAACCAGGCAAAGGGGTCTCTCCCCTTGGCATGATCTCCACAGAGCTGGGGGTGCAGGGCTGCAGCCTCTCCTCCCTCCCTGCTTAGGCTCTGACCGTGCCCCTCTCCTTCCTCTCTGCAGCTCCACAGTGCATCTCCTTTGTGTGGCTGACGCTGGCTGGCCTGCGCAGTCTGGTGGGCCAGGTGAGGAGCGGCCAAACCCTGCGCATCGCTTGTGCTGGTGAGTGCTGGCCCCAGAGCAGGGGGGCTTGGGACAGCCCTTGCACCTCAGCCTGCTGCAGACTCACAGGCTCCCTTTTCTCTCTTTTTTTAAAAAAAATTAATAATTCCTTTTTTGTTGTTGTCACTTTTTTTTTTTTTTTTTTTTTTCCAGTTGTGAAGCAGTGGATGGAGGGAGTCAAGATTCACCGCCCCTGGCCTGCCACAGAGAAAGAACAAATCTATGAGAATCTTCACCAGCTCTTCTTCTCTGTGGTGAGGAACTGGCAGGACTGCCAGGAGGAAGAGGTGAGCACTTCTGCATTCCCAGCCCAGCATGGCATCGGAGACATCCATGCTGGAAGCTCTGTCTGTGCCCAGAGGGCTGAGAGCAGAGGGGTTACAAGAGGGAGTGGGCTGGCTCTGCAAAGGGCTCGGGGCTGGATCTCCCTGCCAGGGAGCAGCCGCATGTCACAGCATTGTGGCAGGGAGAGCTGGGGATGAAGGTGTGGGGAAAACCTGCCTGCTCTCCAGAGAGAGCCCATCTCCTGCTGGGCACAAGGGTATGGGGAAAGGAAAGGGAAAGAGAAAGCCCTCTCTGTAGGAAGGACAGACCTTCAGTCTTTGATTCTGAGACTCTGCCATCCTCTCCAGGACAAACAGGCCGTCCTCGGGGCTGTGGCTGCCATGTTGGCTGTCCTCCTGCAAGAGGAGCTGCCCCGAGAGCATGTCTGGGAGCAGCTCCTCTGGCTCGTGCACCCATGTCAGGACGTGCAAGACACCTGCAGGATGGCCAAGGTGAGATGTTGCACAAGGTTCAGCATGGATGTGGGGCCCGTAAAGTGTCATGTGGGGTCAGGGGGACATAGGGAGAAGGCAGAGAGCCCTTGGAGAAAGGAGGAACAGGTGTTAAAGGGAGGTCTGGGCTCCCTGAGCTCTTCACTCAAAGAAGAAACAATCTGGACAGAAGCCATGAGGGAGCCAAGAGTCACTGGGGCTCATCTCCTGGGGATGGGAGGCTTCACCACCACCACCGTGGAGCTCTGAGTGCCTGAGGAGCTGTGTGCTAACAGCCAGGGGGACCATGTCCAGTTTCATCTGATGGGAAGAAGAGGGCTGCTGGGTGGGAAATGCCTGCAAACGATGCCCAAACAGGGCTCAGTTGAGAGCAGAGAGACTCTCATGGTGCTGCTGGGAGGGGGGGACAAACAAGAACACCTGTGTGGGAGCTTCTGCCAGCAGACAAACTACTGGGAAGCAGTTTTTCCTCTCCCAAGTGGCTAGGTGTGGTTTCAGCCCTTTCTTCCTCTGCTGCTCTCTTGCAGAGCCTTCGTATGTTCCTTGAGGCCTTAGAGGAAGTTCAATCTGTCATCCCTAAGGACAAGTTTCTGGACGTCACCAGTGCTGTATTCTACCAGGTAAGGGGAGCCTATCCTTGTGCACACAGCAGTTTCCCTCTTGGCTAAATCTCAGAAGGACTGCAAAGCTCTGAGCCCCTGACAGGTTGCTTAGCCTGCTGCATGCCCGAGGTTGCTCTGAAGTCGTGCATGTGGCTCTGGGGATGCTGTGGGGCAGTCTGGGTTTTGTCTGTCTGTCCTCTTCCCAGGAGTGCCAAGGGAGACAAGAGCTGGCAGCACAGTGTCTTTTCCATTCTCAGTGCTGACTTGATTTTATCAAATGGACTTTGTTCCCACAGCTATATGACGATGCCAAGCAGCACAGCGAGGCTGACAGAGCAGAGCTGACCCACTGCATCATGCTGCAGGGTAAGGAGAGGAGACTTGGTGATACTTGGCAGTGCCCAGACCAAAACATCTCTCGCAAACCTCAGGAGTGGGCATGAGTTGCTTGCTAACACAGTGTGGAATTTCTTCCCCACAGCCCAAATCTGCCCAGAGGAAACAGTCCTGTTTCTCCAGGCGCAGCTGGGTGATGAGTGGGAGGCTGGATGCGTGGCAGCCCTGGGTCTGCTTGGTGCTCTGGCTCGCTCTGATGGTCAGTATCACGGGTCAGGACTTCCAGGGGTCCCTTTTGCCATTTGGATTGTGCCTCCACTCATACTTCTATGCATTTCTTACAGAGCCCATAATGACAGAGAAGCTGCCCCAGGTTGTGGAGGTTGTACAGCATTTGAGCAGCGACACCAGGCCCCAGGTGAGCTGATTTGGGAAAGGAGAGCGCTGTCAGGGTGGTGATGCTGCTGCCAATACAGGCAGAGCTGGGGTGACTAGAGAGGTTCTGGGGCATTGACAACATGGTCACGTTGGCTCCTGTGGGGAGAGCAGGCAGAGTGGAGCAATCAGGTCCCTGTGCTGTGTATGGAAAGCATACACCCTGGTGCTAAGGTCTGTCCCTCACCTCAGGAGCCAAGGCTTCTTCTCTGCTCTTGTTGTCTATGCTCATGCCCAAAGGGCTGCCCCAGTGAGCAGGTGGCTTCCCTTTGCCTTCTGAGCAGGAAAATCACACCCACAATTGATCTCTGGCAGGTGAGGAGGGCCACTCTGCATTTCGTCAGTGACCTGCTCAGTGCTAACGCCTGGAACTGCTCAGCCTGGGATGTGGTGGGGCACATCTTCAGTGAGTTCAGCCGCACCACGAGAAGAAGGGTAAGGACAGTGGGCAGCATCTTCCTGTGGAAGACCCGCTGCTGCTCAGAGGCTGGCACAGAAGCACCGGTGGGGCCACACCTGAGCCTCCCCAGAGGCTCCTGAAAACGGAGCGTAACCAGTGTTTCAACACTGTTGTGCAGGCAGTCGGAAACCTTTCTGCCCAGGAAGCCCAAGAAGAAGGAGCACTCCAAGAGCTGTGCATGGACATCCTGGCGTCACTGGACGTCTCTCAGAGAGGGATGTCCAAAGTAAGTCACACTCTGCTCTGTTGCTGCTCCTTGTCTTCACACCACATGTTCCTCGTCCCACTCCAGCACCCCAGGTCCCTCCTCCAACGTGCTTTGAAACACACAAGACTCAGGGAAATTCAAAGAGTCCTCTTCATCTCTGTGTGGAGTCAGGAATGCTAACATGCTCACTTGCCTCACTCCCTACAGCTCCTGTGGCCACGGCTGCTGCTGTACGTGGTGCCAGCCCAGTACACCGGCATGCTGATCCCAATCTCCCACCGCATTCGAGCCCTGGCTGAGAGAGGGGACCTGACAGGGCAAGAGATACAAGATCTGGATCCCCATTTCCTCAGTTCCTTGTTTCAAGGTAGGAGCAGAAACTCCACCAGTGAGCTCTGCTGACCCATGTTAGCACCCAGAAGGGACAGCGGAAGTGTGTGTGGCAGAGTATGGAGTGTCTTGGAGTCTTACTCAGCACAACTTTCTCCTTTCAGGCCCACTGCTGACTCCCCAGATGCTGCTGGCACGCCTGTTGGTGAGTAGATGCTCCAGAGGCTGGTGCCTTGAGCCCCGAGGAGAAAGCAGCATGGCCATGGGCAAAGCTGTTGGCTGCTCCTTGCCTGCCAGGGCAGAGCCAAGCTGCTTCCCTCCTAGAGGGAAGCTGTTGCTCTTGCTGCAGAAGTGACCCTGCTTCTCCTTGCTCTCGCTCAGGTGGTGGCAGGGAGCCCTTTTGCAGGCAGCGAACTCCAAGCTGCTGCCTTGCTGCTGATGCAAAACCTCCATAGCAGAATCCACAGAGCTGTGGGGGCCATGTGGGCTGTTGAGATCCCCCTGCTGCTGCAGTGCCTCAAAGGTAAAGTGCTGGTGGGATGAGGGAGGCAGAGGCAGGGAGCGGGGAGAGTAAAAATGCAGCTCTGCAGCATGGCAGAGGGGAAGCGTTTCCTGCAGCCCAGTGCTTGTTCTGCTGCTGTTCCCATTCCAGGGAGACAGCACTGAGGCTGGGGGACCTTTCCCCCTTAGGATCTGCTCATTCCAGGACACGGATGGGCCCTTCATGTCTCCTAAGACAGCAGTCTTGGAGCAGTTCTGTGTTCCTACAGGGACAGTGTTTGTGGAGAGGGACAGGTCATTGTGTAGGGGGTGTGGGTCCCAGCTTGGCAGTGCCGAGTGCCCAGGCCAAGCTAGGTTTGCAGCAGCTCTTCTTTTGGCCTTGATCCCAAGTAAGGCTCTTTTGCTTCTTGTTGCTGTGCAGGGAAAGATGAGAGCTTCCCAGATGCTGCAGAGTGGGATCACCGTCTGCTAAAGGTACAGCATTGTGGGGACACAGTGCAGAGAAGTGCTTGCCTGCCACAAGGAGTCCCGCTCCCATTTGAGCCACCACGGGATAGGAACAGCCTCTCAAAAGCTGCTGTGGAATGGCTGCATGCCTTTGTGGCGCTGCCTCTTCCTCTTTGTCCCAAGCCCAAGGGGGGTCTTAGGAGAGGAGTGGCAGGAGGCTTTAAGGGAGGGGATGCTGGGAGGAGTTGGGAGAGGGACTGTTTTTCCAGGCACCTCTCCCCAGAAGGCTGCAGAGTGAGGGAAGAGGTAAAGGGCAAAAGAACATTGGTTTCTCCTGCTCTCCAACAGTTCCTGAGGGCATCACTGGACACCATGGAGGATGAGGCCTGGACCAAGGCCCTGAGCTGTGAGCTGAGCCGGAGGCTGAGCAGCTCCCCCAGCAGCTCTGGAGAAAAGGTGAGTTCCCCCAGCTCTACCCAGCGGTGCAGCTGCAGGTGCACAACTGGGGCTGGGGTTGCGGCTTTGCCCACATGGGCTGCTCACGCTGTTTCCACAGCCTGTGCCCCCCAGAGAGCCTTTCCCTGCAAACTGCCCTGGGGTGGCTACAGCTCGGCCCTGCAGCAGTTCCCAGCTGCAGGGAGTGTGGGTCCTTCCCACCTGGCCCTCCCTCCGCAGGTCAGGCTGCTGCCACATCTCAGCTTCCTCCTTCCCTTCCCACACAGTCTTTCTTGTACAAGGCTCTGGGGACCGTTCTGGGAGCTTGTAAGGAAGTCCTCCATGTCCAAGAGAAGCTGCTGCAGCACCTGGAGGAAGCAAATGCAGAGGAAACATCTGAGGCCCAGGTGAGCTCTCCTCCCAGCGAGCTTCTGCGAGCATCCCTGATCTGTCCCTGGGACAGAGGACTTCTGGCCATGCTCCAGGCCTTTCAATCTCCTCAGTGCTGCTGCTTCCCTCAAGTGAGGATCAGCCCAGCCACTGTGGCTGGCTGCGCCAGTAGGTTCAGGCCTGCGCCAACTGCCCCTTGTTCTTTTGTGCAGGGGATGATCTCTCTTCTTAGCCATGCTGCTGAGAGTAACTTCCACACAGTCCTGGACACACTCACTATGTTTGCGTCCAGGCTGTGCAAAGGCTGTAATGGGAGGATTTCCAGGCTCAAGAAGGTAAAGCGTTGTGGGTTTCCATCTTCTTCTGTCTTACTGTCAAAGCAGCTCCTGCCCTGGGAGCCCAGGTGCATCGCGGGGCACTGGGGGCCGTTGAGCGAGTGTCTCAAGGCATTCCTCCTCACACAGGTGGAGCTGGACAGCAAGAGAGCTCAGGCGACACGCAGTGCTCTCATCCTCGCCCATGGCAGCTTGGCACTGCAAGCCTCCAAGGAACAGCTGCTTGCCCGCCTGGAGGGGGACATCGTGGGCAACATCCTGCTGCTGTACAGCTGCAGCTGCCAGGTGAGAGCTCAAAGTGTGCCTGGGTGTCTGAGTGCCCAGCTGCAGCCCCTCCACCTGTGGGGCGATGCTGAGATGGGCTTTCTCTTTCCAAAGATCCCTCGGGGAACGGTTTGTGCCCAGATTAAGAAACAAGCCCTTCCCTTAGGATTGCCCCCACGTGTCCCCCCTTCAGCCCTTGGCCCTTCCCGCAGTTCAAATAATGTTCTTCTCTCTTGGGCCTCAGGACTTGCAGAGCAAGCTTGCGCTGGTGCAGAGCATCACTGACTTCAGCTCTGCTTTCCATGCTGTGGGTGGCTCTGCCTGCTTTAACACCTCTTTGAAGAGCAAGCTGCTGGAGATTCTGATGGTGAGTGCCTAGAGCCAGGGCTCTCTGCAGAGGAGTTCTGGGCTGTGCCACTAGGCTCGCTTCCCTGGAGCCATGCAGGTGTCCCTCAGCCACACTCTCCAGCTGGTGGGGACCTTGGGAGCTGGCAGGGAGTGGCTGGCAGCAGGCTAGGTCTACCAGCTGTGGAGCTGCTGCATCCTGCAGTGTCTTTGTGGGAAATATGAGAATGATGGGGCTGGTGTGTGGCAGTTCTGTCTGTCTATGGGTCAGGCGGAAGAACACTGGCATGCCCCTTTGCCTGCTTTGACAGTGTCTCTCTGATACTTGCAGGACTTGCTGAAGAAGTATTACTTGGGCACCCCTGTATCCCCAGTGCCCCTGAAGGTGGTTCTGGCCCTGGAGCAGTTGAGGTAAGGGTGGGAGCCTCTGGGGTTGCAAGACAGGATGGTAGTCCCCCTCTGGTAGCTCCCGAAGGCCTGGAGGGGACAGGGGGTGAGGAGCCATATCTACAGGAGAGAGGGTTGTTGTGCCCAGTGAAGCAGAGGTTCTGGGCAGGGAGAAAAGTACTCCTGTCCCCTGGCAGGGAAGAGAAGGGAGACCTGGGGTCTCCTCCCCCTCAGAGCAGAAGGTGATTCACTGCTGCTGGAGAGGAGAACTGAAGACAGTGCTCAGCAGCACAGGCTGGGGGTGTTGGCTTTGCAGCTGTCAATTAGGAGAAACTCAGATGTTGTCTGAACCATTCTGGAGAGCGCTGGTAAAAGCTTTTTGCTCTCTTCTTTTTTTCCTCCTATCAGCAAGCTGAAGCCCTCTTTAGGAAGCAAGGATGTACGTGAAATGTTGACTCTTTGCTTCAAGAACATTGTGTCACACCCTTCAGCGGAGATGATGCTGAAGATCAGGGAGTCACATCAAGCAGCACGGTACCTGCAGGTAACTTGCCATAACTTTCCTGGCCATCTCTCTGTCGGAACCCTACCTCAGCACACACGACCAATGCTCCAGCAACAGCCGTGATGCCACACCTCAATCCCCTCTCCTGCTTTCAGCTTCTGCAAACAT